TGCCCTTCTGCCTGTAACTATATAGTAATTGATTTCTTTCAGATATATGCATGAAGAATTCATACACAAACTGTATTTCTCAGATAAAGAAAATAAATGTTAAAATATCCATGCTGATATAACTGTGGCGATATATGCTATGGTTTGTGATTGTGAAAACTTCAGGGAGAATACAGATAATTTTTGCCCCATTCACCAATGAAAGGCCTTTCATGCAGAGTCTTCCTCTCCATTAGACAGCAATTTTTGTTAAAAAACAGCTAGTGCTGAATGTTTGAGAGACCACTGGCGTTTACAATCTCCCTGCTCAACTAATCCACGTTCTGTGTTTCCAATGTCTGAATCAGTGCTGAGAAATAGAATTGCACGTTATATTTTTTTAGTCATGATCAAGGATTCTGAAGTTTATATCAGTGTCTAAACTTAATTTCCTGATGCATCACCACAAAGTGATGATATTGAAGACGGAAGTTAAAATGACCCAATACCCTCCTCTCTCAATATAAAAATAAAGAGAAATAATGGAAATACAGTACTGTTTCCTTGCTGATTTAGTAGTGGTCTTGTCTTAAATTTAGACAGTGATGTTTTCTAGAGTCATGTTTATTAACTTTTCTGTACTGTGAGCTGCCCTGCAAAAAACTCCAGGTTCTCAAGGCGAGGTGGTGGTGAAGCAGTGAAGCTGAGCCAGCCAACCACAAGGCTCCCTTGAGGGAGCACCCAAGTGGTCTGCTCCTGCCTCTCAGCACCAAACAGGCCCAGCTGCCCAGATTTCACAGTGCTGGGCAAACATGACCATCATGGTTATGTTGCTCTTGAGAGCTCAGATGGCAAAAGACTTGATTTTCAACAGCAAAACCCTCTCTCTTGCTATCAGCAATGCAGGGGAGCTTCATGCATTGCCTTCCCTCTTCATTATCTGCAGATATTCTGAGGTCTAAAAGTAAAAAGGAGAATAGGTTTCAGTTACTAAACCAACATATCAACAGCAAAAGACTATTTTCTTTGCAAGGTGTCTTTATGAAGTAAGAAATCATTGAATTGTTTCTCAGTGGTCTCTTGGTTTGTGGTTCTAATTAATAAGCTGTACTTTCTTGCAGCTGTCTCTTCTTCCACTAGATATGTTTTTGAATTTTGAAAAAGATAGAGCATTTTGAATTTTGCTTTTTTTTTCCAGTACTACTATCATATCTTTTTTTTCTGTCAGATCAAGGCTGGCGTGGCTCCTTGCATCTGTGCATAGCAAAAATTTGATTTATAATTCCTGTGAAATTTTCTATAGGTCAGAACCAGCGCTTTTTGAAAATGTATTCTGTAAGGACTTGTTTAGAATAGGTGATTTTCTCTGAAAGGTAACCTTAGCATTGCCCTGGCCTGTATGACTTGGACTTGGAAATTACTATTGCAGGGTTGAGAGAGCATGCTTTCCTTAAAAATATTTTCTTAAAATGCTGTGACAGCCTCAGCAGCTGCTATTTTTGGACCATTTCATTTAAAATTAATCACTTGTAGAATCTTCAGCAAGTACATTTCACAAAGAACATGACTGAGTCTTTTTCATTTGTATCTGAATATGGATGTGGTTTTGCCTATTTCTTTAAAGATTAAAGTCTGTCTTTTTTTTGGACTTGAATAACATCTTGTGAATTTTATTGCCTTTATCAGGATAGGCGCTGGCATTTAAGGAATCTCACTCTTGGCTTTCAGGTTCTATGTCTAAAAACCCCCTTTTTTCAACTATTTTCTGCTTTTTCTAGCTTTAAGATACTGTTAAAGATTATTGCTTTGCCTTGTCCAATTTTATTTGCTTTATAAATTGGCATGACAACTGAAGGTTGTTCTAGGATTTCAAAATTCAGTTGGCAGTTAGACTGAAGTCTTCTGCACCTTGCAGATCTAATAGCCAACTTGCCTTTTTTTTCTGCTTGCTGGAAGTGAGGTAGGGAGACCTGGAGAACTTGAGAATCTGCTTTGACAATGTTATAGCTGAGTCTTTGATATAACACATTAAACAGTATACAGAAACTGAGTATCTGACACAGCAAACATTTTCTATTTTGGATTGCTGAAAGTTTCCTTTTCAGGTGAGTCCAGTGCCAAGGTAGTGGCCTCCATGAAATTTTTATCATCTGACTAGCGTGTCTTTTTGCAAGATTTCTGGTGATATGATAGAATCAGGCTTGAAGGTAAAAGATTTTTCATTCCATAAGTGTTAGTCCTCTTTAGAAATAATGAAGTTTATAGTCTTGAATCATAATTCCTGTAGATGTGAAGTGTCATGTATGAAAACTGTCAAGAATTTACTGGTCAGATTTTTTTCAAAGCTACATTCACAGGAAGTATTATTTTCCAGCAAAACAGTTTTCAGCTGTTTTGCTGCCTTGGTGGTTTTTTTTGTTGTTGTTTTTTTGTTTGTTTTTTGGGGTTTTTTTCCCTGAGATAAGAAATTAGAGTAATGGCTTTGCCTTTAGAAACACATTTGCCTAAGTAATAAACCTTAGAAAAGGGCACAGGAATAATTAAGGGAAACAATATTGTTGATTAGACATTGAAACTAGTAGCTACAAAAACACCCAGCAAGCTCTACAAGTTAATACCTTTATAATATTTTTATTATTTTAGGACTAGAGTTGGCCCCAAGATCTCCCAAAGAAATATGAACTAATGCATTTCTCACTTGCCATATGACAAATTGCAAGTTTTCTTTGCTTCAATAGCCTTTACTCTAGAAGGAGAGTGTTGATGTTGATATTTATTCATCTGTCATGAAAGTCATACCTCTGAAATCATCAGTGTGTTAGAATGCAACAGCTGGTTTAAACTCTGTCCAGGCTTTCATGTGCCAGGGCAATGGGTTCAGGGTAAAGTGTGAATAGAGCATCAATGAACTTTCATAATCAGATGCTGCCAATTTTCAAGAAAGTTGATTTCCCACTATTATTTATAATAAGCCAAAAGACATTGGAACACATGGAGGTGAAATTTCTGATGTGCAGACCATGTATACTCAAATGTGAGTTTTCAAAAGAGGCAAAAAGGAAAAAGTGTTTGAAGGCAAGATGAAAAGAATAGAAAACTTCTTCCCATATGGTACCTCAGAGATTTGAAAATCAGTTTTCAAAATGTCATTTTGTTTTTCCATTTTTTTTCTTTGATCTTTGAAGATTTAGGAAAATATTTAGGGCTGACTAACTTCTCTAGTCAGCTGACAGAAAAATATAACTATGCTTGGAACTGCATCATTGAGGTTTATGAAGTTTCATCTTATTTCATTAAACTAAAATTCTTCCTTCAGCATCAACCTTGTAAATTTCATATGTATAAAAAAAGGGTTAAAATTTTATTTTAAAAAATAAAATATTTTTGGGATACAAATATCTGTCTGAAATATTTTGTATCCCTCCAACAGCATGCAAAGGTAAATTCCCTCATTTAAGGAATACAGCAGTGTAAATACTATGAGAAAGTCTGCCACTGCAGTTTAAAATCTCTTAAGATTTAGACATTTAACATAGCAATGAAAAATGCTGGCTCTGGACATGGTTGTTAAGTCTCTAGAGATTTTTACTGCTATGTAATCAAGTTTGTAATGCATACACACATGGAAAGCTATGATATAATCAATGAGACTTTGTAAAATACATGATAAAGCTATTCACTGAGTGTAATAAAATAAAAGCTAGAAGGAGAACCAAATTTCCTTTCTTTTCTGAAATGCTGTTTAAAAATACTGTTTTCACTGCCTTAAGAAAAGCAAAGAAAATTATGCAGTATGTAAAATACAGGAAGAAACTGAATCTAAGGAGTGACAGGGGAAATATACTCCACATTCTAATGCTATATATTATAGTACATTCAAGAGCTTTTATTGTTTTGATTTAGTTTATACTTGTGTAAGTTGTATAGATTTTTATTGTTGTTTTAAATTTAAGGTTTATAAAAGAGGTTTGTTTTTATGCTTGGTGGGGAATGGATGAGCAACTTAAATATTGGTTCTATAAGGAAATATGTGATGTCTCTCTCTATTACATTGCTTGTCTGAACTGGGGGGTTTTTTCATGAAACATGGAGAACATGGTTATAACATCCCTCAGTGTTTCACCCATTTTCCCTCTAAGCCAGTTTGGTTATTTCAAGTTGCTCAAATTATGAATGTGGTTTGGGATTTTTTTTTTTTTGTCTGCAGCAATGCTTCATAATTTATTTTGCAAATCATGTTCACAGTGGGTAAAGTTCAACTGTAGATTTCTGTCTGAAATACAAGCCTGACTTCAGCTTGTGGCATTAAGTGCAAAGTGTGATAGAAGTGCAGTTGATAGAAGTGCATGCCCAAGAGGAGCAGATGGGTTAGGAATTAGGAGGTGAGGTTGGAAGGATACTCTGTGTGAAAGGCGGGAAGAAATCTGGTATCAAAGGTGCTGCGAGGTAAGCAATAGCATGGGACCTTAAAATAAGGCAGGAAATTAAATAGAAAGAAAAAGATATGCAATAAATGGAGGGATAGAGAGCAAGGGAGACTGGAATGGTAAGGAAAGCACTTCAGCACCGAGGAAAAATGAATTTTGTCAATAGCTTAGCCATGAGGTGGAATTTGATATGCTGGTAGTCCATATGTAGGTAACTTTGCCTTTACTGGTAAACTAATTTTTAAGTGGGGTGGGGGGGTGCACAGGAAGTGGGGAAACTTAGATTAAAAAAGTGTTTTTTCTATGTACATTTTGTGGTAGTGTCATTTTTAAAATGCAGACTACTATTGTGCACTTAATGCACTTCTCTTACATTTTGTAAGTCTTAGCCTAAAGAAGTTCTATGCTTCACTGCTAAAGCAAAGCTAAAAAAAGAAACTAAACTAAAATAGAATGGCCAGTGTTTTTTTCTAGACAGACCGAGCAAAAAATGTAGATCTCTTTCATGAAAGAACAATATGAATTGCCTCAGGGATCTGAAGAACAGCAAGAGAAAACTTACCAATCAATAAATGCCTTTTCTTTTGCTCCTAGGTTCAGATATTGTTCAATGGTTAACGAAGAACTTATCGATAGAAGACCCAGGTAATTTCTCTTGTTTTCTTGTCTTCAAATTCTAGGGTTTTTTTCAAAGTTATTGGACCTGGCTTTGTTTTCTGCTGCAGTGGGAATGCCAAGACAAACATTGGACCAGTACAATTTCAATGGCTAAACAGACATAAAATCTTAGATACCTTTGCTAACACACTGAGGATTTTGATTATCCATTTTATTGCAGCGGGTATCAGAAAACAATATGAGAATGATAATGATAGTTCTTTGGTAGAAAATATGTTTGAGTGCATGGGGAATTTACTCAGTGTTACTCAGTATAAGTTGTTTTCTTACAGAATTTTTCAATACACAAAAAATGCATTCTTGTACTGTTACCAAAAGTGAATCTTAAATTTGTACACTTCTATAGCATCTTAAATGGAAAATGAAATGCAAATAAAATGAGTGAAATGAGGAAATGAGGAAGAACACTTCATTACTTGATCAGCTGGGTTAGGACATGAAAGTAAGGGTTTGGTTCAAAACTCTGCCTTGTTTCTTGTATGCCCAGCAGGAAACACAGTTTGGTTATTGTATTTAGCTATTATTTATTTTCTGGATTTACAAGAATCTAGTTAGCTGATCAGAAATTTTCCATAAAGGAATGATTTCTAGTAGAAAGTGCTGAATTGTAAAAATAAAATATTCTATGGAGGTTCCCATTTTCTTTTGGTTAGAGGAAAAATAATCTTCCTTCTTTAAAAATGATCAGAAATTATTAAATTTTGCTTTTTGTTCCTTGCTTTCTTTCAGTATCTTTTTTTTACATTTTTGGGAGTAATTTTTGTCTTTATTTTTAAAATGTGTTTTTCTGTCAAATTAGAACTCAAAGTATGATCATTGCAAAATACAGAATCATTTAAAATTGCGACTTGAGCAAGGAAGAGCTATCAATACCTAATTTGATATTTGGAAGTCGTCAATTCACAACATATTGACGTGTTATGTGAGAGAGATGACTACATTTTTAGCTAACTTAGAACAGTGTTGTATGCTTGCTTCCTGGAGATAATGAGGAGACTTCAAGTGACCTAAGTGTGATATTGCATTTCTCAGTTGTCAGCTACAAAACACTCACCTATTTGTGTTTACGAGAGTTTGAAAGATTTTTCAGCTATGTTTATTTGATATGGAAGCTTAACCTTTATTTGTCAAACCAGAGCTGCAATACTAGAATAGGTTGTCGTTCAGATTACCTGCTTGTTGCAAAATTTGGAATAGAAAAAGCTTCTGCTAAACAGAAAACATGTCTCCTTGGTTCCTTATGTTTGTGTCCAATTAAAATTAAACAAACACACAAACTACTAACATATGTAACCAAAACACCACAGTAATTTAACTGAAGCTGGGTTTTATCCTCTCAGATTACATGGATGGAAAAAAACTATCCACAATGACAAAAATGTCTTGTGTATTTTGGTCCTAGTCCAAAGTCAGCTATCTGGAGCTGGTTAAATTCTGATCTTCAGAAAACAAATCGCCCTAAATGTTTCCTTTGGGTAATGCTCAGAATTGCCAGATGACAGTGAACTTGACAGATGGTGAGCAAGAGCTTTTCACATGACAGAACTTCTGAAAATGTTCCATTTTTTCAAAATCCATAAGTGTCTTGCTTTTCATTTCAGTTCTGGACAAGTCAGTCTAGAACCTTGTGTGGAAAAGCCCTTAATTTCTGCAATCTTTTGTCATTGTAATTTGGATTTCCAGCATCTTCTGATCGCTTTTTACCTGTGTGTCAGGGTTTAACTCGGTTGTCTTTTAAAACTACCCTATAGGGTCCTGTTACAAATCACTTGTGAACCTATGCAGTTTTGTGATGCAGAAATAAATAATGCCTTAGTTTGCACTGAGAATTGTCATCTCTCTCTAAATCTGATATCAGCCACATACCAGGAATAACAACATAAAGTAGATTGGAGTGCATATTTTAAGAGTATATTCTACTCTGTCCAGACAAACCTAAGGACTGTTTGCCCACCTCATCTACCAGTGCTGTGCAGCTACTCATGCAAGGAAGGCAAGTGAATTGTGATTTAAGGGGTAAATAGAGAGATTCTCAGAAGGGTCCTCAGGTTAGAAGGAACCTCAGAAGATCGAGTGGTCCAGACTTCCATGGAGAGGCAAGCCTGGGTGAGATTACCGAGCTCTCTGTCCTCTCTCATCCTGAACACTGCCACTGACGGGACCTTCAGCACATCCAGTGATTGTTCTCACTGTAAAAAATTTGAATAGATGAAACCTCTCTCCATGCAACTTGTATTCATTGCCCCTTATCCTCTCAGTGTGGCTCCCTGTGAAGAGAATTTCTGTCCTCTAAGCACTGGAAAAATGTGTTGAGTCCCCACCCTGAGCCTAGTGTTCTGCAAGGTGAAAACATCTAACTCTTACAGTCAACTTGTCCTTTAATAAAACACATAACTAGTAAGAAGAAAGTAACACTACCTCACTTTATATATAAAGGAGTAATATTTTGAAATGCAATTTTTCCCTTTGTTTTGCATATGGAATACAACTCCAATACCATTTAAGTGAGAATGAAGTAGGCAACAATATGGGTAGTGGGAGAACATAAGGCAGAAGGCCTGACAGCAACATTTGCTTCAGTGTGTTAATAAATGTAAAGCTTTCACCTGGAAAAAGCAATTCAGCAAAAAGGAGTAACAAGCTGGAAGATATAAACTGCCCATCAAGAAAACCATGCAGATTTTTAATAAATGGAAAATAATATTCAGTGGAATATTCGAAAGATTTTGGCTTGCTGCAGTAGATCTCCATCAAGAAAATAAACTGGAGATGATAGGTGGATTCTGCTAATTTGTACCAGATTTGAAGTTATTTCAGTGGAGCAGAGCTTGTGCCCAGAATAGCGGTGCACAATGCACTGTGCAGTTGGTGTTACATTGTTTGCTATTCAATATGTAGTTAAAAAATGTTTGTGTTTCAGCCTACAATTCATCTGTAAAATTTTAAGGAACAGAAATTGTCCAAGTTATTTTTAATAGGGAAGTTTTATTCAGGCATAAATATAAGCATGATCTCAACCTGAAACGAAGCAATTAACTGAGTTTACAGAATTGTAAGGGCTTGTGGTTTGGCACTTAGACATGTGTTGTCGACTTGACCATTACAGAGTAAGTGCTGACGCTTCAATGATGTTGCCAATTACTCTTAATGTGGAAAATCTACTCTGTTTTTCTACATTGTGTTTTTCTTTTTTGAAATGATTATTAATGACATGAAATGCACCAGACTGACCACATCAGATACTGAAGTTCCTTTAATCTGTAGTGGGAAAAATAGAACAAAAAGAGTAAATTATTTAAAGGTATCAGCTCAAATTCCCGAGTCGAGCTCTGTACTTGGTTCTTGCACTGATTTCTTCAATGCCCTTTTTGCAAACACTTGATTTCTCTATTCCCTAATATTCAACATCCTAATAGTAAATGATGCTGTTGTCTCCTAAAGGAGAAGGGACACTATGAGTTTTCTAGTCTTTTCACAAGAAAATTGTGTTATTCACAAACACTCATTTCCAGTCATCCTGTGAATAATTTTCATCTAGATGTCTCAGAAAATACCTTTAAGTGTAGATAATTGATATGTCTATATGTAGATAAAAGATATGTCTATATTTAGACATAATCCTTGTGTTCCTTTAAAGTACCTTTATTCCTGGGTGTTGCTTATTTAATTTTCTCATAGCTGCAAACCAGCTGAATTTGGCTGGAGGCACTTCTTTATCAAATGGTTGCTCCAGCAGAACCACTGCAGCTGCTCTAGAATGCTCAACTTCTGCATTTGCATTGATTTGCTCCAGCTCATTTAGGCAGCCTCTTGAAGTAGTTTGCTATTGCTCTTGGTCATCAGGAATTACACTGAAGTCAAAAATATATATGACTAAATCTAAATTTTATAGTTATGAAAAAAAGACTACCTTGATTTTTACACCCTCGTGTGATTTTCCAGTTTCAGTTCTTACCATTTGTATGTAGTTTTTCCATCTAACTGGTATAACCAATCTGTAGCTAGATGCCCATCAGTATCCATGTGAGCTGTGGTCACTGAGCCAGTGCAATAACAAGGGAGGGCTCAGTAGCACAACATCTGTTTTTGTTTCTTAGTTTTCCCTCTTTAGTAAAGTCTCTCTCCAGCAGCTGGTGTAGTAATAATGACCTTGAAAATACACAGTACTTGTTTGAAAGAGTTAGAAGAAAAATGTTAAGGCTTTTATGTGAGTTTATAAAAGTTTACTTGAAAAACTGTTCCGTTCTCAGTTTTGCCTTTTCCCCAGTTATATGCAGAAAGGTAGCAGCAAAGAGCAGGAGCCAGACAAGATGTTCTAAACAATTGCCATTTGGGAAAATGCACCAGAGACCTGCAAGCAAAGGGGAAGTACTTCCAGAGATTGCTAACAGAAAAAACAGTCCCTTATGAGAAGGAATGAAGAAGAGAATGGAAAGGTCACGTTTATCTTTGTGGTCTTTGCACTAATCAAAACCTGTGGAAGTGGAGCAAGAGTAGAATGCTCCCTTTTTATTATCCCGACTTAAAAAAATAACCAGCCCAAAAGCTCAATAAAAGTAATTTATGCTGCCTGCACACATACCATACCCCTCATGCTGGGAACCCAGGAACATCAGACACTCTCATTTTTCATATGCCTGATAGAAATTCAGGCACATTTTTTTTCCATAGCAAACCTCACAAACCTTTGTGAACTCCAGTGTAACTAACTTGCCAGCTTTCTTCTACTAGGTGAATTTGATCTGAGATTGTCAGATCCTGTAACATTTCAATGGAATAATTACTTTAATCTCAGATGCACAAAAAGAAAGTAGAACAAAATTCTGTTTGAGAATGGAAAATGTCAGAATTTACAGACACTCCTTTATTACCAATAATATTAACATTGTGATACTCACGCAAAAAATCTATGGGTCAGGCTTCCTATAATTACAAGCAGCATAGGGAATACTTACCTGTGTGGCAAT